CCCCCCACCCCCCACTAAACGACCACTATTGTTGTACTTTTCTTTTCCCTTCAGCTGCATAGAACTTAAACAACTACTCATGTTTTTGATGGATTTCTTTTTTCAGCTCTTTTATGATGAAGGGATAAGGTAAGATCATTGTGCAAGGTCTTTAAGGCTCTAAAATTAAAATGACTTCTCCTGGCACATATTCCAAAGCAAAGACTTTGTTGCCTGCTGCTTGTTCTAATTTACAGGGATATTTAATTTTGTAAGGTATATGTATATTTATAGTGCTGTAATTAATTGCACATTGGACTGGAAAAGAGCGGATGACCCAGGGTGTGGCAGCTATCGGTACTCTCCGTTTCCTCGTGCTGTGTTCCACACGGGTCTCCAGGACGGGATCAGGGCTCGCTCATTTGTCTATTGGACTCGGGTCCTTCGTTTTTGCTTTGGGTTCCCTTATTAAAATGTGATTGTTAACCGGCTCCTTAAAAGGAAAACACTAATTCTGCTGCTGCTCGTGGAAGGTTTGCTGAATGTATTTTAAACAGGACTCTGGCCCATACACACTGCAGCTGTCCACTGTGGCCAATGATGATACACCCACGTGTGTGGCCAGACCTTTACTGTATGTAGCAGGAACGTATTGATTTGTGCTTCCTTAGCAAATTGAAATGTCAGCTGAGAGATTATCTGCTGCTGTTGTTCAAAAGGCCATTTATGAAAGTCGTATTTGAAACCTTAGGAAAGCTTGTGATCATTTCATGGAAAGAATGAGAATTGATCCAAATTTCATGTTAAAAGCTGTGCTCAGAAGGTCCGAGCTGAGGTTGGTCTCCTCCCAAACCCTGGCTGTTGTGTGTCGTCTCCGTGTGTCCCGAGTTCCCTTTTTTTCAGGCTGCACATTCTGGCATCTGTTCACCCGAGGAGTCCATCGGCCTGCTCGCGTGCAAGGCGCCACCTATCGGGGTCTCTCCTCGCCATCCTCGTGCGCTGCAACAGAACCCATGGAGCATACGTGGCCTTTTTGAACCAAGACTTTGCAAACTGATCTCTCCCCAGTAAGGAGTTGAGCACATTAGCAACAATGTACATTATTAATTTCAGATTTTCATTTTCATGTTTTATTATGTAAATATGATCTGATGTTTGGAGCTTGAGTATACAGAATGTAAATATAGTTCTTGTATTTGTACTAATTCTCGTTCTTTTGCTGTATAGCCTTAGATGTGCAATGCAGACATTATCTAACTGTGTATGGTAACCTTGCATCACGGAATTATTAGTGAACGAGGTAAAAATAATAAAGGTACAACCAGTGCATCGGAAGGCTCCTGACATGCATTTATTCTTGCATCCTTTGAAAGGTATTTACTTAAGATTTCTCTTCTGGACTTGCAGAGATCTGACCTTTCTAGGCCAAAAGTTACCATGGTGTGACCAACACGTTCTTTTCTGATCGTTCAAAGTAGGGTTATTAGAGAGCCCGGTGCTATTTTTTTGTGCCGTTTCCCTGAAAGTGCCTTCCTCCCGAGTGTTGTCTGGGTTCTCCCGAAGCCCCTGTTTGTATACCTACCAATGATTCTGCGGTGGCGGTGTGGTTTTTCTAGAGGGAGAAAGTGAATTGTTCACCCCGTGTGCTTAATTTAACAAATTCCCGTTGGGAGCAGAGCATGAGCAGGGACCCCTGTGCTGGTTGTTCGCGGACAGACAGACAGGGTGGGGAGAAGCAGCGTTCAGGCGGAAGGCAGTGATGCCGTGGTGGGAGGTGATGACTCAGAAGCAAAC